GCAGCTAACTCCACCTACCTCTTATAAACCCTAGCCCTCTTCATTCTTGGCAAGCATTGCCAATTCGTTTGGATTCTGTCATCGTTTTGAAAAGGTTGCAGAGGTGATTCTAACTTATTATTGTTTAAAGCTTTTGCGATTGCTTCACTTTTCATTGGCTCCGCCGCCTCAACCTCATTTGATGCGTTAAAAACTTTCCGCATCTATAATGTATTAATTGGTAAATGCATGAATTTATATTTATAGGAGGATGCAAAAGGAAAGGATCGAATGAGATGAGATTGTGATTGTAGAGTTAATTCAGATTTGTAGTTTTATTAGAGATTCAAGATTGAATCTTTCAGTACATGGGTATATGATTAGGTGAGGAATAGGCATGGATGATATCCTCCTTCATACTAGCCATGGATATGCATGCTGAGGATGGGCAATTAGAGCTTGCTTCACTTGTCTTTTAAGAAGATGAAATGTTAAAAACTTTCGCGCATCTATAATGGTATTTAATTGTAAATGGATGAATTTAATATTTATAGGAGGATGCAAAAGGAAAGGATCGATGAAGATGAATTGTGAATTGTAGAGTTAATTCAAGATTTGTAGTTTTATTAGAGATTCAAGATTGAATCTTTCAGTACATGGTAATGATTTTAGGTGAGGAATAGGCATGGCATGATATCCTCCTTCATAACTAGCCATGGATAATGCAATGCTGAGGATGGGCAATTAGAGCTTTGCTTTCACTTCTTTTAAGAAGAGGATGGGCAATTAGAGCTTGCTTCACTTGTCTTTTAAGAAGATGAAATGTAAGAGTGTAGTTTCTTGGGGGGTATTAATTATTGGCTTCGCTCAAAATGGTTTAGCAGAGAAGGCAAATGCATTGTTAGTTGAGATGCAGGGTTTTGGAATTACCCTAGATTCTATTTCTCTTATACAAACAATTTCATAAATTTTGCTTGATTATTGATGAGATTGGTAAATGATATGTCTGGCAGTTCCTTCTATTTTTAATTTAATTTGCAAAAACTTTTAGTTGGATTAAGAGAAATGGGGAGAGAAAGGAGAAGAACTACCGAGCATATATAAGGGCATTTTCGTTCTTACATATCAGTTTAATGGTTAAAAGTGGGTATTTTGGACAGAAGGAAGTATTGATTGACGGAATTAAAATTTAGGGACCTTAAAATTGGTATTTGAAAATTGAGGTCCTCAAGTGTTAACTAGGCGAAAACTTAGAAAATCAATTATTATTTTCCCTTTAGTTTATGACATGAAACATGAAATCATGGAGGATTTTATTATTTAGCTATTAAAAATATTTTCTTTTTTAGAGTGATTAATTGTTTTCATTATATATTTTAATTTGGTGATTTGTTCGAAAACTTATAAAACAGTAAAAGAAACTATTTATTAGAAATTAGAAATGGGTTAGGAGATTTGAAAGTAATACATTAATTAAGAGATTTTTTGTTTTCTTCTTTTTTTTTTTTCTTAAATGTTGGAACAAAATTCAACTAATAACTCAATAGCAACCCCTTTTTTAATACTCAAATATATTTGTAGTTTCTCAATTTTTTTGTACACATTAACCGAGTTATTTCTAGAATTCTATATATTTTTTAAAACATTGGAGGCTTTTATAGACCGATCAGTAGGAAATAGCCTCCCTTGACTCACCAAATTGGTGAAAACAATCGTGGTTGAGAGAACTCAAACTCGAGATCTCTCACTCCTCACATCAGTGAAAAAACCAATCAAATCACCACCTGATTAGCCTAATTCCATATATTAAACAAATATTTAAGTCCATTAATTATAATTAATTTACTTCAATTTTCTTGACTCACACAGAAGCTTTTTGTTTTATTTAAAAACCTATAGTTGTCTTAGCATTCCAAAATTTAAAGACAAGTGTGAGTTAATTAAGCTAGGAATAATTTAGAAAGAAAAAGCTAGCTATCTTCTCTCTTTATTTTTTTTTTTAAGAGTTTTGTTCTTTGTCACTGAAGATTGTCTCTATAATTAGATAGCAATAATTTCTTTTTCATTATTTTGTTTAATTATTTATTCCTTGGATACAAAAATACTCTAAATATGTTAATAAAAACGTAGTTTTATTTTTATTTATTTTTATTTTTTTCAATTCCGGTGTATATATATATTATTTTTCTGAAAAAGATAATGAGAATTTTATTAACTGAATATATTTTTAGAAAAATTTCAAAGGAAAATTTTTTTATTAACCTTACGAATAACAAAAAGTACAAATATATATATACAATTAAAACAGATTATAATTGTTAAGTTTACAAATGTTATTAGTCTATTAAATATAGAAAATTATAAATATGTTTTTTTTTTTAGTTTGGGTCAATTAAATTAAAAGTAAAGTTGCTGCATATTAAAAATAAATAAGTCTACGAAAACCAAAATCATTTTTTTTTAATTCAGCAAAGTGAACTTTAATCTGAGTATAAAAAAGTCGATTTCAATTGAATTTAACCATACTTTTTTTTTATTAGTTCGTCAATTCTAATATTCTATCAACATAATTGAGTTAAAGCGAATTATATATACATATATAATTTTAGAATCAATATATATTTCTTTAACATGGCTAAAAAATTCATCTTCTTTCTTCAAAAAACTATGAATAATTGCATGAGAAGTGCTTTAGCTTCAATAACGTTAATAAATTGAATCCATGTAATCTAGTAATTAACTAACGTTTTCAAAAGTTCATAAGAACAAAGTTCTGACTTTCTAAAGTGAGCAGCTTTTTCTTTTGCAAAAATATCCATTCAATTTTTCAATATTAAAAAAAAAAAAAATCATTTCAAGAATACTACTTGTTAATTGGAAAAAACAAAAAAAAAAAAAAAATAGAAAAAAACAAAAAAAAAAAAAAAAAAATATATATATATATATATTCGGTTGGGCCTATTTTTGTGATGTGACTCTTAGCATCGCTTTAAAACATCTGCTTTATAGCAATTTTTTATATACCCAAAAAAATTTAAGCTTCACAATGAAGTTTTTTTTTTTTATTATTTATTATTATATTTTTATTCGCATATGTCTCTCTGTGTTTGGACCGTGATCAGTATTTAAATAAAATATTTTCACTGGCGACGACTTTAGATTTTAAAATCCTAACTCTATAGATGAAGTTTGTTTAGTAATGCAATTCATTTTTGTTAATCTAATGGTTTGTTAATAAATTTTATTAATTTTAATTTACATTATGATTTAGAGAATAAATTATTAGTATTAGTTTTATGAAAAATAACTTATTTTCTTGCTTGTTCTTATTATCTTTAAAAATAGATTGAAAACTTGTATGGAAATGGAAAGTTAATTGGTGGTGTACACGAGCTTTCTGATAAAAGATTCCAATATGAACATCTTGTTTATTTTTGGTATTTTCTTATTTTTTTCCTTAAATTTTGTTTTTTTTTTTGAAATAATTAAACAGAAATAAAATTTTTTTTTTGTTGGTATTTTTTTTCAGATATCATTTGCTTTGAAATGATATCAGTTCATGTTATAATATAATCAAATTTAAAAATTAAAATCGGATTGAAATTAACAACACAATCGAACTGAATCAAATAGGTTTAATAAGAAAAACATTAGTAAACTAAGAATTCACGATTTTTATTTTTATTTTTATTTTTATTTTTTTGATCAATATAGTGCAAAGAGCAAACATTTATTTCTTTCTTTATTTTCAAAATAAAAAAAAAAAAAAAATTTCAAAATAAAAAGAAAAAAAATTTTCAAAAAAAAAAAAAAAAAAAAGAACATTTGTAATAGGTTGAGTGGACACATACAATGCCTTTGCTACCACATCCAAATTCATTGCTTATCATCACAACCTTAATCAATTTGTAGGTACTAATACTTGGAAATTGGAATTGTTCCATCACCCACTACTAATACTAGCTACTTCCTTGAGCATTTTTATCAATACAAATCATTAGAATCATTCAACATTAATTGTATGTGGATAGATTTATTTCTATTTTTATATTTTATTCCTAGATCCTTTATCCATATACATTGTTTTAAAAAAAAAAATCTTATAATTTATTGCTTTTTAATTAATTAATAATAATGATGATGATGATATTTTAAGATGATTATAACATAAGTCTTGAATTATTTTGTAATAATTTATACTATCAATAAGAAAATTACTCTAAATTATTTAATAGCGTACGGATAAAAACTGTTTGTTTCGATTTAGTTTTGTACCGATTGAGGATTTGAGAGTAATTTGAAAATACTCATTATTATTAAAAAAAAAAAAAAAAACACTTTTGTCCACTTATTTGTTTTAAAGAAAACACTTCATTAAAGAGAAAATCCAAGAGATAACAATAAATCATGGGTATAGAATTAATGATTTTTAAAACATAGTATGAGCGAGACCAACTCTAATTGACTTGGTTTATATTACGAAAAAAAAAAAAAAAAACACTTGTCCACTTATTTGTTTTAAAGAAAAACTTCATTAAGAGAAAAATCCAAAGAGATAACAAATAATATGGTATAGAATCTATGATTTTAAAACTAGTATGAAGCGACAACTCTCATTGACTTGTTTATATACTTCAGATATGCATCAAATCTTGAATTTTAGAAATTAAACTTTTTTACATATAAAGAACTTATAAAAGAAGAAAAGTAATTAATTTTATTAATGTCAATACATATATGAAAAAATACATATCATATACAGATTTTTTGGATTCAAAATCAAATCAAACAACCAACTTTGCACAATTGGTAATATCTGAAAAAGAAAGCTAAAATTTGTAGTATCATAAAAAGAAAAGAAAATCTATGAATGACTCTCCATTTATTTATTTGCTTTTATTTGTCGGGTAAAATTCAAGAGGGGACAAGGGCTAGAAAAACAAATCTGAAGCTCTCAAACAAAGCAACACAAATAACAACAAACCTTCATTGATTTCCAATGGCAGGGACAATTGTCAGTATTTCATAGGACAGTGCAGTGGACCCCCTACTGGGTATCTTTCACCATAAAATCCAGAAATGACCTCTCACAGGTCACTTGTCCTTTCTCCTTCCTAGAATAAATTTACTGCCTTCACCTACATAAGCCCCTCTCTGTCCCATGCCATGTCCTCTATATATATTAATGCTCATTTGTAGTTTTATACATATATAGACCATAAACTGCTTTCTCATTCTTTACCCAGAAACAAAAATAATGTCAAAAATGAATCTTGAATCCTACCCTCCTGTTTTTCGCCAACAAAACACAGAAAACCCTCAAAGCACTGACCTTGAGTGTATCAATCTTGATAATTGCACCATAAAAGAAGAAATTCAAGAATTTGGTCCTGTCCCTGTCATAGATCTCCAGTCTCTAAATCTTGATAATCTTGAAGAAGCTTGTAGAAACTGGGGTTTGATTCGTTTGGTCAATCATGGAATTCCTTTAACCCTTTTGACCCAACTTCAAGAACAGTCAAAGAAAATATTTTCCTTTTCTTTTGAATCCAAACAGTCTATTATCAGTAACCCATTATCTTACTTCTGGGGTACCCCTGCCCTTACCCCATCTGGAACTGCCCTAGAAAAAGCTCCTAAAAATATGAACTGGGTGGAAGGTTTCAATGTTCCTCTTAGTCAAATTTCTCAGTTTCAAGCTGGAGATCCTACACTTGAATCTTTCAGGTACACTTTCTTCTGTTATTTTGCTCGTGCACTGTTTAATTTGTTGAAATTTTATTCCTTTTTTGGACTTTATGGATTTGTACAGTCTTTGAATAGGCAAAGGAGGACTTAGAAGAGTCATAGTGATTGGATAGTCTAGATCTTTTCGATAACCAAAAACTAAAAAAAAGATGACAATGGTCAGCATCAATAACTTTTGTCTATGATTAGCGGCTCAAACTATTTCTGTGTAACAGTGACATATTATCAATATATAAATTTGATTAATTCCTGTAATTAACTAATTATTTTTTTTTTGGAGTAATTGCTATAAAATCTCTAGGTTTTGCTCAAATACACCAATAAAAACTCAACTATTTCATTTCTGCAGTATAATTTTATAACACTATAAAGTTCAACCGCTACGGTTAATGTAAAATGTCGAAAGTGCCTCTAGAAATAATTATTGTCTAATCCTTATAATTTGGTGAAATATAAGAATTATCCTTCTGGGTGTTTTTGATATTCCACAACCATTCAAGGGAAAAAATCATCGCATTTCTTTTTCATTGTTCTTGATATGATTTCTTGATATGATTTTCATGGTTAATGGACAAGAAAAGTTCATTTGTTCCCCTCTTTATCATTGTCTCTCACATGTTACATATGTTGCTGGTAAAGTTGCGAGAAACATCTCCTTTACAACGTTGTCCACGCGGTTGTATTTGTTTGGTGCGAAAACTCTTATTTAGAAAAATATCTATTTAATATGCGTACAAAAAAAAAATTTGATTAGCAATAAATATGAATGTTGCTCTTTTTTTCCTCTTTTAATTTTTTTTTTTTTTTTGGTTTGCAAAATAAAATAACAAAATGTAGAATTATCCATGAAAGAATGTAACATATGTTTTTCAATGTTTATAGAATTTATATTTCATAAATTTGAAAAGTATTTATTATATAATAATAAACTATTGTACAATTAACAATTCAATCCAACTTAATATTTACAAATTTTGTATATTCTATGAAATAATTAATCCTCATTTAATTTTAAATTAAAGTCAAGAACAGATATTCTATTTCATCTTATTCCGTGAATACAGAGTCTTTTATTCCGTTTCTTTTTCATTACATTTTTGCATATTTATTTTGTTGAAAAATATTTTCTGAGAAAAGAAAATATGATTACATTTTATATATTTGATTAGCAAAAAAAAAGAATTGAATGTTGTTGCATTTCTTTCATTCTGCCTCTTTTTTCATTGACAAGATTTTTCTTCCCTCGACTAGACTTCTATTGGAAGAATATGGAAGGCACCTAACTAGAATTGCTACAACTGTATTTGAAGCTATGGTTAAGAAACTTAATCTCAATCCTGAGCAATTGAAACCTTATTTATCAGAATCATCAGGACTTATTCGTGTTTATCGGTATCCTCCATGTTCTATTGCTGATGAGACATTGGGGATGGAAGCTCATACAGATAGTTCTGTGCTTTCTATACTGAATCAAGATCAAGGAGAAGGACTTGAACTTCTCAAGGATGATAAATGGCTCCACATAGACCCTATTCCTAGCACACTAATTCTCAACCTTGGAGACATGATGCAGGTCCTTAAGCTTCTCCTATGCATCTCACATTAACATAGAATTAATGATTTATATAGCAACGAGCCTATCAGCCATTAAATTTTAAATTACATCGGTTAAGTACAATTATTATTAATGTATTTACCTTGTCCAAATGCAATTTTAATAGCTGATAAGCTCAATTCTTATATAAAGTCGAACTTATAATAACTAAACCTTATTAATGTTAAAATTGTTGACTTGGTTAGGCCATTAGCAATGATGAGTACAAAAGCGTTACGCACAGAGTTAAGACAAACAAAGATACGGAGAGATTCTCAATCTGCTACTTTGTATTTCCGGGTGAAGGGAGTGTGATTCAAAGTTCAAGGTATAAGCCTTTCACTTACAGTGATTTCCAAGCACAAGTTCAGCAAGACATAAAGACTATAGGATGTAAGATTGGGCTTGATAGGTTCAAACTCACTTAAGGAAAAAGAAGAAGAACAAAAATAAAAAAGAGCCTGCAAGCTTGGAGAAAATAGAGAGGTAGCCATCAAAATGTGTAGGCAAGCTAGCTGCCTACTGTTCGTATAAAATCAAATGCTATGCAAACACATTGTTGGTGGAGCTTTGGGCCTTGAATGTGTGTTTTATAACTATGGCTTTTTTTGTAGTGCATATAAGGTCTATGAAACTCTCATTGAATTACAATTGCTTGGATGGATGTAGTAGGTTTATGAGATTCGCCTTATTCCTATCTTCAATGAGCACCATGTATCGTAAATTACAGTGATTGTGATTTTCGTTCTCTATTTCCAAACTTGATAATTGAAAATACAGTTCATCTTTAAATTATCTATTATACCCTTTTTAAATTATCTATTATACCCTTATTAAATTTTATCTTATTTTCAATAATTGTCATTACTTCTTACTTTTTCAAAGTGAGTCATGTGTTATTTAAGATGGACACAGTAGAAAAGTCATATGAATAAAATTGAATACTGAAAGAAAAATAAACATATTTTCTGTATCAGAATTAAAAATAATGTGGCCCAAGCCTGTAGAATATTTGAAGCCCGATTGTGATCTGCCTTCTTAATGGGCCTTGAACGAGTCCATGGTTGACAGACAGATAAAGATTTGGATAAACAACATATAATTTTGATCCAAAACTAACTTTTCAATTAATTCCTGCTAATGTGAAAAGTTTGTGGAAAAGTAAAGGAGCTGCCGCTAAAAAAGGAAAGAGTACGTAAATTGTTCCTTTTCTTTTTTTTCCTTTGAAAAATATGTAATCTTATCTTTTGATAATTGCAATTTTGGTGTATGAAATTTACATTTTATATTTCAATGTATGGATGGAAAAAGTTAACAATTTGATGAATCAACTATTAATTTTTTAATAATTGAGCGAATTTTACACGTGTCTAACCGGAAATTCTTATAGGACGATATAGACATAGTTAATCATTTGGTTTTTGATTAGTAGGCGCCAAATAGGAATCCACGTGGATTGCACTAATAACAGGAAATGATAAATCCTATAGGAATTTCCAGTTAGACACTTGCAAAATTCACTCAACTGATCATAAATTAATAGTCAATTTACCAAATCGTTAACTTTTTCCGTTCATACGTCAAAATAGAAAAAATTGTAAGTTTATACACCAAAATTGCAATTACCCTATCTTTTGGTATTACTGTGTAAGTATGGAAAATTGAACGCTCTGTATCTGCTGTGATCAAGTCAGGGAAATATCGTGCCACTGGGAAATACCATATCACCACACATCTCTGTTTTACATAAAAAAATTTTGTACATCCTAAAAATTTTTAAATTCATTTCAATTCAAAAATTACATTCATAAAATATTTTGATTTATAAAATTCAACTTATAAAGATAAATTAGTTAAACATTTATTGAATAATTTAAAATTTAAAAATTATTGATGCCAAAAGTGTTAGTAATTATCAGGGTGAGCGGTACTCGGTCTAAACTAAATAATCAAATTAAACTGTTTCACTTTTGTTTGGTTCAGTAAACTTTTAATAATTACTGTTTGGTTTGAATATTAATAATTTTTTTGGACATCAAAGGAGCCAAGGAAGAGTGCAATAAAATATTAATAATTGAATGGTTCTTTATTGGGTTATTTACATATGTAATTGAATTAATTTTTTACACCCGAAGTCGATGATTTGATTCAAAATATTCAAATCAAATCTAAACTGATATGATTTAGTTCCATACCAAACTGATTTCCACAGTATTTGATCCTGTTTCTGTCAATGTAAAATGTATTAATCCGGTTTGATCAAACCGAATGTTAATCCTAATAACTATACGTTAAATAAATGTTTTATATATAAAAATTAAAAAATATCGAAAAACTAGTTGTTGCATGGAAAATTTTTTTACAGAGAGTAAATTCTACGTTTCTTGCTGCGCGGATGATGCGTTCAATTTCAATAGCCATATTTATTTCGCTTTTCCCCATGCGGGCACGCATTTCCAGCTCTTGGCCTCTTTCGAGAGAATTAGAGAAACACTCTCTGCTGAAGCGCGTGTATGCTAATAAGGTCGATATTGAATAATTAAGTAATCAAATGGTTTTTATACTAGCATCGGTTCAAGCGCATAAATCACAAAAAGGTTTTGTCAAATTATTCATTTTAATAGACAGGAGGTTCTTAAAATCATGTATTTATTTAAAAATATTAACATTCATATTTAATATTTATAACAAACAAAATAAATTTATATATCTGTGGTATTAGAAATTAAATTACTAATTTCATAGGTTTTAATAAATTTTAAAAATTTTAAAATCCTTAATTGTCTTTAATTACCTAATTATAACTATTCCTAAGTAATAACAATTTATCTAAATTCGTTAGCTTCTCATTTTTCAGTCAATAAAATGGTAGCCAAAATATAAGTAGCCGGTCCTACCTTTAGAAGTAGGATAAAAGATTGAAAATTTCCGAATATGCCCAAAAAGAAAAAACTTGCCGCACATAATTACCTTCCTTTTTTTTTTTGTCATTGTACTTATTGATAATAACCGATTGTACGCGCTGGAGAGTGAGAGTAGGGAAGCAACAGTGCAAGTTGCGTGTTCTATTCTTAGTCTATTCTCAACAGAAATATCGGCCACATCAGCTCCTACGTCATAATATCTTATCTTCTATGTCTGAGTTGTAAATCCATAATTGATTAATTAATTTCAGATTAAAATAAATAATTTTCATCCATCAAAAATTGGAAATAGTTTCATTTTCACTTTTCTGTTTCGTTAATCAATCTAACCGCCAACAAGGGAAGCTCTCCAATAATATAAAAGGATCTCTCTCCTCTTTTCAATCGCGAAGATCAGACCGAAACTTTCTTTGCTTTTGCGCTCCGTAAGTGAAAAACTATAGTAATGGAGAAAGCGATCAACAGGCAGCGAGTTCTTCTCGATCATCTACGTCCTTCATCGTCTTCTTCGCACAATTATGAGTCCTCTCTTTCTGTAAGTCTTATGATTTCTAGTTTCTTACTTATTTGTTATGCTTAGCTGAAAATTCCATTTGTTTTTTTTTGTTTAATCATTGTATTTCCTTATTGATTATTGATGTTTTTTCCATGAAAATGATCGGATCTGATAATTTATTGCTGCAATTGTTGTTGAAATCTATTTTTAAACGATCTATCTATTCAAGCATTTCAATCTAAGTAATGCTTATTTGCCTTATGTTAATTTCTATGTTTTTAATGAATTGAATTGGGATATTGAAACCAGGCATCGGCTTGCTTGGCCGGAGACAGTGCCGCCTATCAAAGGACTGCTGTGTTTGGGGATGATGTTGTGATTGTGGCGTAAGTGCTTTTTCTTTTTTTTTTTTTTTTTTTTTTAATGCTTATTTGCCCTTATGTTAATTTTCTATGTTTTTTTAATGAATTGAATTGGGATACTTGAAACCAGGCATCGCTTGCTTGGCAGGAGACAGTGCGCCTATCAAAGGACTGCTGTGTTTTCGGGGATGAATGTTCGTGAATTTTGTTTGGCGTAAGTGTTTTTTCTTTTTTTTTTTTTTTTTTTTTTTTTTTTTTTTTTTTTTTTTTCTTTGATTACTTTTATATATGAATCTTGAGCTTGTTTTGTAATATTTTTTTTCCTCCTGTGTTATGCAGAGCTTATAGAACTCCGTTATGCAAGTCAAAGCGCGGTGGTTTCAAGGATACCCATGCTGATGATTTACTTGCTCCTGTTTTGAAGGTTTTATCTCTTTTGAAGTTTTGAATTTGGTTCAGTTTTAATTATTGAATCATCTACTCTGATTTTTGTTTTATTATTATTATTATTATTATTATTTTGGATTTCCCCAATTGTGTACCTATTCTTATTGTGGCTACTTGGTGCAGGCATTGATAGAGAAAACGAACTTGAACGCAAGTGAAGTAGGGGATATTGTTGTGGGCACAGTGTTGGCCCCAGGATCTCAAAGAGCAAGTGAATGTAGGATGGCTGCATTCTATGCTGGTTTTCCTGGTCTGTTTCTCTCCTCGCATCTCTTAAGGTCACTTGAGTTATCAGTATTAGTTTGATGCTTAGTATTTTATGTTTGCTTTCAGAAACTGTGCCTGTTAGGACTGTTAACAGGCAATGTTCGTCTGGGCTTCAGGCAGTTGCTGATGTGGCAGCAGCTATCAAAGCTGGGTTTTATGACATCGGTAAAATAATCATAACTATATCAATTGCATATTTGCATTTTGCTATCATGGTTTTAGGTTTGTTTGTTACAACTTACCCTTCTAATTCCTGCACCTTAGGCATTGGAGCTGGTTTGGAATCCATGACAATTAATCAAATGGCTTGGGATGGAGATGTGAATCCAAAAGTATGCTTTCACCCTTTCTCTTTTGCTTTTTTTCATTTTTTTATTTCACTAGGTTTGTAGCAAATGGATTTTGAGCGGGAGTCTTAAGGTTTTGTTAATGTGACAGGTAAAAATCTTCGAGAAGGCTCAAAATTGTCTTCTGCCCATGGGTGTTACTTCAGAAAATGTTGCCCATCGTTTTGGAGTGACTAGACAGGAGCAGGATCAGGCTGCTGTAAGTTGAATTAATCTGATGGGTGTCACATGTTGCAAACAGTACTTTTTATATATTAAATCTTTTTTTTTCAAACTTGTATTGCAAGGTTGAGTCTCATAGGAAGGCTGCTGCGGCTACCGCTACTGGCAAATTCAAGGACGAAATCATCCCTGTGGCTACCAAGGTATGTTTATTTGTTGTTTTCAGCTTTAATATGCATATTTTACTCAAACCAACTTGCATCTGTATGTGGAGATCCTCACCTAATTTATGTTGACGCACTGCTCTGTAAATTTCTTGTATGAAGATTGTGGACCCAAAAACTGGTGATGAGAAACCTGTCACAATCTCAGTTGATGATGGGATTCGCCCTAACACATCATTGTCAGATCTAGCAAAATTGAAGCCTGTATTTAAGAAAGATGGAACAACCACTGCTGGTAAGCGTACACCATTTGAGCTTCTTTCATGTTGTGTTGAGTAGCTTACTCTTCAAGATATTCATTCTGTGATACTTGTTCTGTAGGGAATTCTAGCCAAATAACTGACGGTGCTGGGGCTGTGTTGCTCATGAAAAGAAGCGTGGCAATGCGTAAAGGGCTACCAATCCTTGGTGTGTTCAGGTATGCAACTCCTACGAATGGATTTAACAAGAGTTTTGAAAATCTGGAAAATCAAACTAACAAGTCTTATGAGCTATTATAGTTTTTAACTTAGGTTACTTTATTCTTGGATGGGCTTTAGTGAATTGTGCTGATTTATGATTGGATGCTCAAAATATCAGCTTTCACTCTCTGTAGAGCATTTGTCTGGTTTGTAATAAAATATCGCATGGATACCAGGTCTTGCTTCTGTAATAGGCCAAAAAAGTGCCTTGCAATTGCAGTTTTATGCAATTTTATTATGCCTGACCAAGGAATGCAATGTTTTCAAGTGTATTTTGCATTATGTTTGATCTATGATATCCTCCGATGAGATTCTATTAACATTGAGAATTAGGACACCATATTGGGGGATATGATCTCATTCAGGGCCAAGGATTGAGTGTGGCCTCTGCCTTGCTGGGTCTTCAGTTCAAGAGTTGGCCTCTTGTAAACATGCATCATGTCCTCTTTGGATGTGCTATTATCAAGTTGTTGTTTATTAAGTTGCCATCTAGTGATTGGAAAATGGTGAGAATTAGCAAAAGAAATTTCCTGCTCCCTTTGATTTTGTTAAGGAAACACTCTTTTGGTCCCTGCAGGACTTTTGCTGCAGTGGGTGTGGATCCTGCTATCATGGGAGTTGGCCCAGCCGTTGCAATTCCAGCTGCAGTGAAATCTGCTGGTCTAGAACTTGGTGACATTGATCTTTTTGAGATAAATGAGGTGAGATTGATACATGTTTTATTAATTCCATATTTGTCCCTGTTTTCTCTCCACATCTATAACTTCCAGGACCAGAGTCCTTTTATTATTATTTTTAATTTTTGGATTACCGATTTTCGCTGTTCCTTGTGCAGGCATTTGCTTCTCAGTTTGTTTATTGCCGTAAGAAGTTGGAGCTTGATTCAGAGAAGATCAATGTCAATGGGGGCGCAATGGCCATTGGACATCCTTTGGGTGCAACAGGTACTTGTGGCATAGAATTAAAGTTGTTACATTTTGATTTGAAATTGCTGGTACTAGATATTGGCATTGTCTTTCTATAGGGTTCATTTCTCCCGAGGTCTCTCAAATATGTACAACTACATAAGATGCTCAGAATGCATGTAGATATGAGCTGATGGCCCGTATTGGTCGGGGAATGCTTCACTAATTTTTTGCTTTCTTAATGTCATATCCCAACTGCCTTTGGTTTCTATGATATGAGGTTGGTTCATGAATGATTCACTAAACGAGATGGAGTTTAATTCTGAATGGGAAGCATAGTCTTTTGACCATGCCATGACAAGGAAAGTGTGTCCGAGGAATATATTAACCTCCATTCTTCGTAGTCAATGTTCAATCCTTCATTCCAACTTCCGAGACATTTTATAGGCGTTTGGACTTCCATCACCTTTCTCAGAGTAAAAGGGGAGGCTTTTGCCAGGGTGAAGTGTGGGAAGGTTAGATCTGAAAGCCTTCTGCCACCATATGGGGTTTTTGTCAAGGATCAGATGTATAGAATCACCCCTCCATGTTGTAGAAAGACTGTTTACCTATTCCTACGCTCTAGGTCCACTTTTGATATGCTACTCATGATATTTTTCTGAGTCTCAAAATTTTGTCAGGATGCATCAGACATTGATGTTGGAACTATTTTGGTGTTTGCATTGCCGAATATGCATAGATTGTCATTTGGGTACTTCTTTATTAATGACATATGATCCTGGCACGTCTATGTTTCAGGTGCCCGATGTGTAGCTACTCTATTGCATGAGATGAAACGCCGGGGTAGAGATTGTCGCTTCGGAGTGGTGTCAATGTGCATAGGTACTGCTTCTCTCTCTCTTTCTGCTTCTCTCTCTCTCTCTCTCTCTCTCTCTGTGTGGGTGGGTCGGTCCATGCACCCAGACATGAGACATGTATTTTGAGTTAGAAAACATGTGGCCAATGATGAATGCTTGTTAACACAAAATGCAGGCACAGGAATGGGAGCAGCTGCTGTTTTTGAGAGGGGGGATGGCTGTGATGAGCTGTGTAATGCCCGGAAAGCAGAAACTGATAAGCTGTTATCAAAGGATGCTCTATAGACAGATGCCTTTTTTTCCCCCTTCGTATTGTAGGACTTATCAATAAATATTACGGTGGGGTTACCAATGGAACAGTGTAATAACGTGGTTCTATTTATTTTTCCAAAGTATTGAGTAAACCTGAAATGCAGAAATCAGATTGGTTGTATTTCAACATACCAATTTGTTTCTTTTATCCTTCCTGCGTGAGTATATTTTAAGGGAATATCTTTCAATGTATGAAAAGATGTATGTTAAAAATAAAAAATATGAAAGCTACAAAGTGTTGGTGAAACTACATTTAAAAAATAGCTCGGTCTAGGTAGCATTAGCGGAGGACCTAATTTAGAGGTTTTGGAAAATTATTTCTCTTAGTGTAGGGTTGAGCACACTTTGGGTTAAACAAACCAAACTGATTGAATCAAACCAATTTGGTTTGATTTTATAGATGACGTTTGGTTTTAGTTAAAATTGATAACCTGAAAATTTCTTAGTTGGTGTTGATTTTTTGAAGCTAAAAATATAGGTTTAAAATCGAACCGACAAGAGAAATACCTGTACAAAACTGATTAAAATTTTAATTTGGTTTTGTTTATTTTGATTTGGCTTGAACCAAATGTCGCATTCTCCTACAATGTAAATTTGGAATAATATATGATGTGTGAATGGATCTAGGGAATCAAGGTTGCACTGAAATTGCTATTTTAATCGGCAGTTTTAGTAGAAAAGAATTCTAGATGCCTAGAATTCAGAAAAAAGAAGATTTCAAACTCTATTTTTCTTTTTCACGAAAACCTCAATAAAATTGATGGATTATGCAAACTACTCCCTCTGTCCCTTGATAAGTGTCCACTTTCTAAAAAAAATTTTCCCACTTCATTCCATTTATGAAATCAAAGTAATCTTAAGCTTTTACTTCAAAATATACCCTTCTAATGCAATTGAGTAATAAATTTAATTTATCATTACTAGAAGCCCAATTTAGTAAAGTATTAACTATATTAATAGCTTCTAATTATTTCCTTAATTTTTGTGTTTTCAGCAAAATGAAAACTTACTAAATAACGAAAGGAGTACAATTTGTTTTATTGCAAATGGTGCAGCTTTACAATATGTACTAGATCTTTTTTTTTTTTCCCTTTTTTTCCTGGATCGTTAGCAAATTCTGTCCGTAAAATCTAATAGGCAAGTATATAAAAACTTTTCATGTACTAGCAAATTCCCTTTTTTGACACAAAATTTAGATACCTAGAAAGCAATAACATTATATTGGAAATTGTTTCGAAGTTACATCAGTTTACAAAATAATTTCTCAAATCACATTATTTTTGTGATAAACTCTCTGATTTAGCTCTACATTAACTTCTTGAAGACGTTCTAAAGACGTTATATCTTTTCAAGAGAATGGCGAAGGAAGCTTAGTTTTTCACTTCTCCACACAAATATATTCTTTTACTACGTTTTCTCTTACGTAGATGTCAGGACAAGTTGTATCTCACGCCAATTAGATATGCAGTCATGAACGTTCAAACAAAATTTCCATCCACGTTAATAGATATAATCAAAATTTTAAATTTAGATATGTATTAAATTACATTTACATAATTATTTAAAATATTTAATATTTATTCCAAATCAGATTTCAATTTTGTAAAGGAATATTTGGAAATTATTGGAAAAGATTTTTAAGGCACCAACCGAGGCTATGGGTCATCAGGCAAATCCCCTGTGCTAAACGGGAGGCAGACTTTAAAGTCTCCCAATTAGAAAATGAAAGATCCTCCCCTCCCCTTTTAACACTAACTATTAACTGCTAGGCCAAAAAAAAAAAAAAAAAGGAAAGAACTACCAGGGTATGAGGTAAGAGATCGGAGAGAGAATGACGAGGATTACTTTTGTCAAGCGTGAATAGGAAAAGTTGCATCAAATCAAAATGAAGAATTCAATTGACATTTTGAAATATACTAAAATGAAATGGAACAAGTAAGAAAATACACACGGTGCTGATGTTCGTTGCACCATATTAGCACAGAAGAATAGGGACTGGAGAAGACAAAAGACATGGCACAGAATGAAACATGCTCATACAAGCTTTCATCGATTCCATATTTCTTTTCACCCCAAAACGCAAACAAAAGGGATCTCGATGTCCGGGCATTGGGTGCTCCAGATCATCATCTCAGATGCCTGGGATTCGGGAAGTTAGTTCCCTTTTTACTGACTTCATCAGAAATTCTATCGGTCAAGGGTTCTGTTTGTGATTCCCAACATGAGACCATGAATCAATCCAACGAAGTTAATGAAGTGTTTTCAGAATTTTCTATTCTAAAAAAAAAGTAATTGACTCCATTAATAGATTGGCCAAAGCTGTTGTTTTAATCAAAACAAGAAAGAAGGAATTGCCAGTTTGCCCCCCAAGAGAAAAAGTTCTGCTATATCATGTTCCAGAAGGCTGTATAACAGTATTTATGATTACCTTTCAAAAATATCGCTTCCATGTTTGACTCAAACTGGCGCAGCAAGATAATTGAGCCATTGAGATTTGCTGCTGCAAATCAAGTTATCGATGACTTGCAAACTGGGCAAGATGTTTTTCTGCCAAGCCATGGATCAATACACTGCCGACATAAAAATGAAAAAATACAGTCAAATACTTATGGTTTATAATTAATGAAAAATATTTCTTAAATTGCAATGAGTGAGAATTCCTACATCTTTATGAAATTTATGCAAGCAAGGGAGATGGCGTATAGTTTCTCCAACAGTTGGGGTTTCTAGACAGATTGCACAAGTTTCTTCAAAGTTATCAGTCTGCATAAAACATATGATACAACAGAATCAGCAAACAAATATGAAGATAACACTACCTGCTTCCACATATTTACTTTCTCCGCTTGAAACGAAGCACGCACATGCAGAGATGCCTGCATATGGACACTCATATTCAACTTACCTGCACTGTAGACTCTGGTAAACTGTTAATTCGATTCACAGAAGCACCACGTTGGTGATTATTCTCATCAAGTGCCAACAACATTTCGTAATCATTTCTGCAGCAAGCAAAAGAAATAAAGATGCTTGATATCTCTTCTAAGTTTCAATATGAACATACATGAGTCAATCTGCACTCAAAATCTTGGTAAAAAAGAAACTGATGAAGGATGAAAATTGAGTAACATTATCAAACAATATAAGTTCGAGAATTATCCTAGCATTAGAAAGACCAACGATAACAAAAAAGTATAGCTTTGAGGAATATCCTTGCGCTAGCATTATCATTTAAATAAAACTATGAAAACCTCTCAGCTTTCACACATATCCATGATTATCCCAAACATCACTGAAATGAATTATTCCATGACTTCTAGACTTTTATTTTCTAGATGACAACTGGATCTACAGTAAAGGCTAGCCAACCCTCATATTTTTTGTTATATATTACATATATAGTATCTTTCCAAATACTTATCATTGAAGAAAGTAGACTAGTCCATGAACAGAGGAAAATCTTACTCATTGAAATCGCGCTGAACTTGAAGGATGCGACTAGTCGTCATACTCATATCACTGAATTCCTCTAATGCCTCCAATATATCAAGTCTCTGTATTGGAAAACAAGAAATAAGTTTCATTATTAAGTCACCCACGTCCTCAACACCTGAAAGGACAGTGTTGAAGACCATTTGCAATTAGCATAAACCTGAGACAGGTAATCTAGGACACTCATAAGCAAATTGCTGACAAAGATATAAAACTAAATAAGAAAGAAATTGCATAAAAATAATAACTTGAGACACTTTATTTGACCCAAAATATAGGTGATAATAACTGAGTAACTGCTATTACTCCCATGTGACTGAGTGTAGTAAAGGAAACTATGCAAGATTTAGGGGTTATTGTTATTAGTTAGCTTAGCTTTTAAAATAACTAATGTCCTTGGTTAATCAATACAATTATAGTTTCAAGGCCTTGGCTGCAGTGCCAGTCATTCTCCTATTGTCCTCTATATTTTTTCTTCTTACAGGCTCTCCTCTCTTCATAAATCAATTTCACAAATAGGAAAAGAGAAATTGTCCAGAAATGTGCATTCAAGAAAAAGTTTTTTTCCAGAACTCCAACACATGTAAGATATTCAACCAACCAAATACAATGAATCAGAGCCATTTCTGAATAGTGTATATTGACCATAATGCATTTTATTTATGGCCACAATATTCAGAACCTTTATTTATGGATTCCAAAGTTAAAGACCACAATGCTGTACCCTTGTCAAAAGTTGAATAATGCAAATAATATTATAGCGAAGCTTTACTTCATATTGTCTATCTAAAGTACAAGAAGGTGCCAAAATATTTTTGATTTATCTTAGAAGGTGGCCTGATAGATAAAGATGTGACCCATAAAATTAAAATAGAATGGATGAAATGGAGACGTACTATGTGATACAAAGATATCTAACAAAATGAAAGGCAAGTTCTATAGAATGATGGTGAGACCTGCGATGCTATATAGGAGTAAATGTTGGGCTCCGAATGCCCAACATATTCACAAGATGAATGTTGCGGAAATACGAATGTTAAGATGGATTTGTAGTAATAAAAGATTGAACAAGATTAGAAATGACTACATCCAACAAAAGGTACAAGCAGCACAAATTGGGAATAAATAAGAGAAGGGAAGTCTGAGATGGTTATGTCCTATGCAAACCCCCATGTGCTCAGGTTCATAAGTGCAATATACTGATAGTAGAGGGTGCTAAACCGGGAAGAGGTATACTTAGAACTATATGGACGGAAGTTGTCTCAAAATCCACTACTGCTTAACATTAGTCGACTTAGCTATGAACATAACAGAGTTAAAATAAACTATTCATATAGCTGACCCAAACTAATTTAGAATTAAAGCTTAGTTGTTGTCATGGTACTGAGCGAACCATCATATCCAGAAACTCAGAAGAAAACATCTTTGAACTTCGCATAAACTAAAGCTATTAAATAACAAAAACAGCCATGAAATCCTAAGCAAATTATGAGCAAAGAACATTAAGATCAATCAAAACATGAACCTTCTCTTCAAATTTCGGTAAGACACTAAGACTAGAGGAGAATAGAATATAACAACAATAAGATAAAATAAATAAAATAAGTACCATATCTATGTCCATGCCCAGAGGAAACTGGAAATTCCTTGCTGTAGATAACGTAGCAAGAGAGGGATTCCTAGCTCTAGATAATGCTGCCGGGGATCGGTTGAACAGGCGACTCCTCAATTGTGATGTTCTTGTAGCAGGAACTCGAGCCTGGGCTACTCTCCTATTTGAAGGGTTATGGAAAGACCGCGGCTGGGGCTGTCTATTTGCATGCAGGGTTGAGGAGCTTCTCTACATAAAATGCAAAACAGGAGATGAGACAATAAGAGAACACCGAATGAGATTAGATTTGATAATTTTGGTAAATTATTGTCAACAATACAGTAGCAGAGTGTTTTTATTTCACAGGTATTTTTGTAATTTTACGAATTTGCTGGGATAGACGGAGTTATAATTTTACAAGTCTTAAAAGTGGTGTCCCAACATAAATACCTAAGCTTGTAGTGATTTATCAGTTTTCCTGGATTGTATGATGCAATTCAAACCCCAGGTATGATGCATAAGAAATTTCAAGTATGATGCTTAAAATCTTTTATCTATTCTTAGATTTATATAAGAATTTCACATGTTTTCAAAGATATTCCCAGCTATCCTATGTCACGTATTTTATGGACTTGCATAAATAAGAATATCAAGGTTTAATCAGATATTACATTAGATGAATGAAGTATAAATTCTTCTTCATAATTTTGGCAATACATCTTTGATGCGAGCTGTTACAGTGCTGTGAAACCATTGAGGCATACTTACAGTTCGTGATCTAGGGTGATTTTGACTAGAAGCAGCAAGGAATGTGTCTTCCTCCTGCTGCAATACCCATGCTAGATCTTCATCAGGCTGTTAAAAGGTCAATAAACACGAAAGATGAATAAATGAAGTCAGAATAGGTAGACAGCATCAAAAGGAGGAGAAAGAGATATCCAATTTAAAAGAAAACAAACCTCACTGCCCCCGAATACTGGCACCTCATGATACAGTTGTTCTTGGAGTTCACGAGCTAGCATCTCATCTGCTTCCACTTGTCTTGCCCTTGCATCTGAGTCATCATTCACAGAGCCTAACCCCTGAGAGTTGCCATTTCTCATTTCAGTAAACGATTCATCATCAATTTCATATATCGGATCCAAAATGCCCTGATGTTGTCTATTCAACGTTCTGGATGATCTTGAGCTGGATGACTCCAGAGATGAGCCAAGGAAAAATATTTCTGAGTCGTCAGGAACAATTGAAGAGCATTCACTGTGATTTCTTAAAGTCAATGCACGTTTCTTTTGCCTTTTAGTATGTCCATTCCCAATATGATGTGGTTGACTTGTTTGATTATGCCCAGACACATGTCTGGACGCAGTCTGGCCTTCACCCTGATCTGTAGAATCACCTCCATTACTGGTAAAGTTTCCATTTCCATTATCTCTTCTTTCCAGCTGCTCATCACCAAAGCATCCATCTTCATCATCAGGATAATACATTTTCTTGCCACGGTTGCGTGTACTTCTCCAACCACCTAATAATGCATCTCTGGATTCATTAGGTGCTTTATTGTTAGGCCCAGAACTGCAAAAGAAACATAAGATGCTATCAGGCGCAGTAGTCAGGATATAAGTATTCAGAAAGAACAAGAAGCCAAAGTTGACCACTAAGAAAAGATAGAGATGCCCACCAATTAATATTTGAAAGAGGACACAGAACAGTCAACCAGGAAACAACACATAACAATGTAAATTAATATTAGAAAATCAACAGAATGATATTCTATGGCAACAATACGATATATCAAAGCTTCAGGAACAGTGCTTTATGTCAATAAGACCAAGAGAGCTGATTCCTTAAAAAAATAAAAACTCAATTTGGTACAAGGAAGAAGACTGGGAGGGACAACAATCAAGAAGGGCACTGCAGATAAATTACCTGGTAGATACATTTGCAACTTTTGCATCATGTTCCTTTGATTTAGAAGAATGAAGTACCAACCCTTTTCCTTTAGCTCTATGACAATTATTCTCTTCAGCAACTACTTCCTTGATATCTACTGTAGGTGGACCATCAGAAACCATATTACTGGAATGATATTTTCCAATATCAGCGGAACCAACTCGGAGCCTTTCAGCTAATCTTTGAGCCCTACTGGCTATATTATGTGGTGAAATACACCCATTTCGCACCAGTCTTTTTTGCCCAGTTACTCTTGGTGAGGTAACAGCGAGATGAGAAGCAGACATTTGTTTTTCCACTTTAGGTTGAGAAACACTATTGAGGTCAACCTCTTTTCCATGATTTATTGCGGAACCAGAACCATTACATGAACTGACACCAATTTTTTCTTTCCCCTTTAAGCTATTGCTGGATGTCATACGGGAAAAATGTAAAGAAGATTCCCCATTAGATGATATCTGAACATCCCTTGTCTCTTGAGCCTGCAGAGATTTTGATGCACTGCGTGGAAAGGCCATGTCAAAAAGAGCATCTTTTTCTAGATAGAGAGGTTGTTTTGAAGGCATTTTAATATGCTCAGCTTTCCCTTTGTCCCTAGATCGCATTCCAATATTATGAGTTTCAGGCTTGGAGTCATTGACCATCGCTCCTCTCCTAAATAAAGGAATATTCTTGGAAGGATAGAAATTTTCTGATGGAGAAAAGGCAATAGATTTATTGCGAGGCTTAAGTTCATCCATGTTGACAGGAACACCTTGACGATTTAACCTAAGTCTTCTATCATGCCCACTTTCACCGACCAGCCTACTACTTACCCCCAGCTTGTTCAGACACTCTTTATCCCTAAAATCAGAAGTTCTCGAATGAGCGGCTGCAGATGAATTACTTTCCCTTCCTAATTGTGCGTGTGCAATAATTCTATCAGGAGTATCTGGTACATCCACTACCTGTTCAATGTCCATCTCCTCCATATTCTGTGTAATCACAAAAAGAGAAGTCTTATGAATGAACATTTATGCATAAACAACAAGCAGCTTATTAAACGGAACAATTACACCTAATCAAAATGCAAAAAGGGTTAACTAAAACATATGAAACTGCAATTTAAAGAACCAAAAAATAGAGGTTTGACCATTAAACACATAATAGTAAGGAAAAAAAAAAACAGAAATCCTGACATGCAGAAAGGAAACTATTGATCGACTAATATTGCACAAGCACATGCCAAATACTAGGCCATAATAAAGTATTTGTAGAAGAACTGCACCAGATAATTTCAAGAAGATATATGCTGGAGAGCTGTAATAGCATCTCCACTCGAGGCTTAATGGTAGAGGAGCTCAATAACATCAGAATTCAGAAGTAGAAAAAGATCCCAAGTATGATCTAGAAAAATATTAATGATGAAATTGATTGATAGTGATTGAATGGTGTAAGGAATACAATGCTTATAAATCCACAGAGGGAATAAACGCATACACAGGCATAATCTAAAGGTACAAAATCTAAGCATAAAATGCACTTGACAAGGAAAAAATTCAAAGCAGAATGATCGATTAAACTCCAAAATGCAGCATCAAAAGCAATATAAAGCAGATTCATTTCAACTAACTCCTATGGGATGTAAGAAATGGAAGTGCGTACACAATCAATCCAAAATTAATGATTGAACCATTTAAAGAAAAAACTATTTCGCTAATCATCCTTTTTCAAATTTAAATGTCGAAGAACATTAACCAAAAAAAAAAAAAAAAAAAAAAAAATGTAAGAAATGGAAGTGCGTACACAATCAATCCAAAACATTAATGATTTGAACCATTTTAAAGAAAAAACTATTTCGCTAATCCATCCTGTTTCAATTTAAATGTCAGAAGAACACTTAACCAAAAAAAAAAAAAAAAAAAAAAAAAAAAAAAAAAAACTAATTCCCAGATTAAAAATCATAGATTAGAGAACTAAAAACAAATACCAGGAATCGGGTATCAAACAGCGAATTAATTAGAAAGACAGGAGAAATATTACAAATTTAGAAGCTTGGAAATTATTTGAAAAAAAAAAAAGAAAAAATATGGAACTTAATAGGATTAATTAGAGAACTATTTACCTGATTATTGGAATCACCTTTCAAATGCGAATATTGACTTGGAAAAGAGAAAAAAAAAAAAAAATTCAATCGCGCGGATCGTTTCTGCAGGACAATTCAGGCACTCATCGCCAATGCTCTTCCCTTCCTTTCTTCCTTAATGATCGGTTGGTCCAGTTTGTTGTTTGGTTGGGTCGGTTCAGTATTGTTCTACCTTATACCCATAGGCCCAATCAAACCAAGGCCTAAGCCAATTTTCGGCTTCAATACCAATTTCAATATTTTCACATTGCTTAGTTCTCGTATCGCTGCCACATCACGTAGGCTTTCGACTAGTGTCGCGTCTTTTCTAGAATGACCAAACGACAAGTATCCGGACATGTACGTAACCCCCCCTCCCCCCATTTGATTGTTTTGGTAAGTGTTCTGAAATTACAGAACGGCCAGTTTGCAGTCCAAAATCAAAAGAGCCAAACTTATCTTTCTTTCATAGGACACTCCATCCCTAGAATTGTTCGCGGCCTTAATAAAAAAAAAAAAAAAAAAAAAAAAAAAAACTAATTCAGATAAAAATCATAGATTAGAGAACTAAAAACAATACCAGGATCGGGTATCAAACAGCGAATTAATTAGAAAGACAGAGAAATATACAAAATTTAGAAGCTTGAAATTATTTTAAAAAAAAAAAGAAAAATTGGAACTAATGGATTAATTAGAGAACTATTTACCTGATATTGGAATCACCTTCAAATCGAATATTGACTTGAAAGAGAAAAAAAAAAAAAAAATTCAATCGCGCGGATCGTTTCTGCAGGACAATTTCAGGCACTCATCGCCAATCTCTTCCTTCCTTTCTCCTTAATGGATCGGGTGGTCCGTTTTTGGTTTGGTTGGGTCGGTTCAGTATTGTCTACCTTATACCATAAGGCCCAATCAAGACCAAGCCTAAGCCCAATTTCGGCTTCAATACCAATTTCATTTTTCACATAGCTTAGTTCTCGTATCGCTGCACATCACGTAGCTTTCGACTAGTGTCGTTTTTCTAGAATGACCAAACGACAAGTCATCCGACATACGAACCCCCCTCCCCCCATTGATTGTTTTGGTAAGTTTCTGAAATACAGAACGGCCAGTTTGCAGTCAAATCAAAAGAGCAAATTATCTTCTTTCATAGACTCCATCCCTAGAAGTTGTTCGCGGCCTTAATAATCCAACGTGGAACGAATATAACCTGTATAAAGGCATATAAAAATGAAAAATGAAAAGCTAGTTAGCTAATTGATTTGCAGTAATATTGTAGTATTAATGGGTAAATTTTGATCTATCCGTCAATTTTTACTGAAATTCAGACGCAAAAAGAACTTATTTTAGACATGCAATGTCACGGTGCCAGCATCAAATTACTCTCTTATTGAAAGATTCTTTGTTCTTCTTAACCCACATCATTAATGTACATCATCACCTTTATCTCTTAGCCTTCCTTATAAATCCATACACTCCTAGAATGGCTAAATGTTTGTATTACTTTATGAAGTCATTCTAATTATTACTACAGTGTCATCAAGTTCTATTAACTTTTCATTTTAGCCATTTTTTCCTTATATTACAATATTAGACGAGACCAGAAGTTCAGTATATTTCTAGATATCACGCCATTTTAAAATTCAATTACAGAACCGCAGTTTACTGTCATCTAAACATGCAAATTATCTCCTCTTGCAAGGTATCCTTCCCTGTCTTTACAGGTGATCATCCAATGGACAAACGACTATCCTGTGCACGATTCAATAATTTTGTTCCATTTACAGAGACGATGTTACTGTCATTTAAACATAAGAAAAACTCCCTTCCTCCTCTTCACAGGAAGTCGATCGACAACGATAGAGATTGATGTGTTGCTTGCCACAGCTCATGACACTGGCGTGCCCCCATTTGTAAAGCGGATATCCTGAAACTTCTTTTAGTTCTCCGATGCATCAGCAAATTGTTAAGCATGGATGTCAGTCACAGAAATGCCATTCTTTATCACAAAGGACAACAAAACTTATTAATTATGCCCTACCTGGCCGTTCTGTCGAAACGACCAACCTTTATAGCGTGAGCATCTCCGCCAATATACACTAATTTATTTTATGAATTGATAGACATAAAATGTTCGTTGTCTTTCCATGACTCCACTGTTTTATTTCACAATAATGATGCTACAAAGGACATACACTGAACTTCCTATAAATACTAAATGATAACAAAATTTTGCACTTAAGGAGGCTACAAGACACCCTGAGAAAGCATGTCCTAACATAAAACGTGCCAAAATTTTCAGTAAAAAACAGAATAGATGAAAGGAAAATTGACAAACAAAAACCCTAGTAAGAGCTGCAATAAGGTATCCAGCATAGCAGTATGAACTCGGGCTCGAATCACACTCTATACTCCTAAAGTATGTCCTCTCCACTACTCGTCAGTCACACATCCTCTGGAAGCTGAGCACACGTTCTTGATGTACTGGAAATGAACAAGATAAATAATACCTTTATTAATGAAATTGACTAGGTACAGGGGAAACGCATTGTTAAGGTCAATTCTTCCTTACCTTGTATAGAACTCCACAAGTAGCCTTGTAAGGAGGAGGACTCCAGTTCTTTCTTCGCTCTTCCATTTCCTTGTCTGTTAGCTCAACATCTATTCTCCTCTCTTGGACATCAATTTTGATAGTGTCACCATTTCTAAGGAGACCTATTGGACCACCTTCCTGGAGATAACAAGCAAAGAACTATTCAGAATTGTTTTCAAATCTGTTCACATATACATATGCAATCACACAGTTGAACTCGAAAGCTTTGTATGAAATGTCAAAACCCTTCTGGTAAAATATTTCCCTGAAATAATTCAGCATTAATAACATCAGAGGTAAACAGCATATAGGAAAAAGCATGTTTACGAAGCTCGTTGCAACTTGCAATACCAACACTGTGTTGAAAACCATTGCCAACAGCAACAAGATTATTATATTTTAATATTGCAAATTTAACAACAAAGGGTCAACAGAGTTGGATCATGCCCATGAAGGCAGGAATTTTCTGAGTAACATTTGAAAAACTTGATTTCTATATTTTAACCAACGCATTAAATATCTGAAGATAATGACGCAAAGATTCCTTATGACACCCTAAAAACACAAATAAGCAACAAACTACAACCCAAGTAATGGAAAAGAAGTGGACCTGTGCTTCTGGGCATACATGACCAACAACAAATCCATGTGAACCTCCTGAAAATCTACCATCTGTCAACAATGCACAATCCTGCAGTTTTCAATGGAAAAAATTAAATGAAAATGTCACACTGAACTGCTGAAGGCTTTTATATTGAAGCAAAAAGGCATTGGGCTGCAGACTAAAAACGACAATAGAATCACCTGGCATGTATATATGCAAAATATTTACATTACAACAATGTATGTCTGTTTAGCTTTGGAAAGCAGGTTGGTGATACCTTTCCAAGACCAGCTCCCATGATTGCACTTGTTGGTGTTAGCATCTCCGGCATGCCCGGTCCTCCCTTAGGCCCCTCTCCTCTAATAACTACAACTTTTCCCTGAGATGTTATGCAAATAAATGAAATTTGATATCATGGTTTCACGACAAAATCCTGTAATCACAGAAACAATAAACTTGATAACAATCCAATGAAAAGTATACAAAGACATGTTCGGAGATATCTTAGACAAGGATCACATTTACAGAAAGCAAATTTACAGGTGAAGCATTTCTTATGAAAATCAAAGTTCCATTGATTTTCAGGTTATTTACCACAAACAAAAGAGATGGCATATTTGATAGACGGAGTTTAAAACATGAATGCCAATGCCTCTTACTAAAGGAGATGCAATGGGTAAGCCTGGATATGCCTTTAATTGATCAGAAAAATGAATTAAGTAAAGATGTAAATGCATATTTGTTATATCAATGACCAATTTAGAAGGAGCAGAGAAAGCAAACAATCCACCCTGTCTCACCAAAAACAAGTGGATATAGAAATATGGAACAGTTGAAATATATCCAGATGATAGCAAGCAGCAATCAAGAGCAACGAACAGTCAATAATCAGCTGTTCATGTCAAACAGAAAGCCATATATGGGTATCTCCAACACAACTTTTCAATAGCTTTCCCTGTATTAAGTGTCTAAAGAAGTGATCAAAATGACGGCAGTATCAATAGCTTTCCCTGTTAATTTCCAACTTGCTGCTTCAATATCACATAAGAAGGACTGAAGAATTACAAGCGTGCTGTCAGTCAAACAAAGTTCCAATCTTTTTAAGGCCCTCCAAAATTTTCAGCATGAATTTCAATATCAAATGGCTATATAGGAAGTGGGGACTTTAAGGATATAAAGGGTAAAGATGCAAATATGATGACAGATATGCTTACCTTAAAATTCTTAGGATTTTCTGTTATAGCTCTAATCATGGCTTCCTCTCCTTCAAAAACAAGTGCAGGACCTGAAGTGTGTTTGTTCCATCATCACATCAGACTTTAAAATAGACTAAAAGATAGCATAAAAGAAAAGCAGCAAGACATGAGATATCATGAAACAGAGAACAGCACCAGAGAAATATAGTCCTTCTTTTCCAGTGATCTTTGCTACAGAACCCTCTGGAGCAAGATTTCCACGTAGAATCTGGATGTGACCTGTTTTCTTGATGGGGTTTTCCAGTGACCTTATTATGTCCTAAAAGATAAATGAGCGAGAAGAAAGCAATTATTTTTTTCACTGGAAATGGAGAATACAGCGTTGCTTCAACAGCAAACAACAAGAACATAGACAAAGACTGACATCCCACCTGCCCCTCAGACAAAGGCGGGCAATTTTGCACATTTTCAGCCAATGTCTTCCCAGTCACTAGAGAGGAAATGAATCAAGTTAGCCTTGCATTGCATACTTGCAATTGATTCAAACAGATATTCAGACAATTCCAAATTACATACCTGTCAAACAATCCCCATCCAAAAAGCCACGCTCCAAAAGATAGCGAAGGACTGCAGGTGTTCCTCCAATCTATCAAAAGAATTATTTGTTAGGGATGACCAAGAGATTGAGTCAACAAACATTAGTTAAATGCAAGTTGTCAGAAGAAATGAAGCAAGGTGTTAAATTTCTAACAAAGAATAACTACAAAAATAATTTACAAAAATATTCACCTTATGCACATCCTCCATAACATATTTGCCACTAGGCTTTAGATCTGCAAGGAATGGAACCTCATCGCTAACCTTCTGGAAATCATCAAGTTTTAACTCCAATCCAACAGACCTGCCAAGATATCATGACCTTCATATGTGCAATTAATAATAGTGATGGAATACATGGGAAAACCATAGTTACCTGGCAATTGCAATTAAGTGTAACACAGCATTGGTGGACCCACCCAATGCCATGACAATCACCATGGCATTACGTAGTGACTGACGAGTGATTATATCTCGTGGTTTCAAGTCCATTTTCAATAATTCTAGAAGATATTTTCCTGCTAAACGGCACTCATCCAACTTCAATGGACTTTCAGCAGGTATTGAAGAGCTGTATGTTACAAACAAATAAACATTCAGAAATTGTAAGAAAAGGGCAATCTGAATGATTCTAAAAGGGCATATAGACCTGTAAGGAAGAGACATTCCCATGGCCTCAATAGCAGAAGCCATTGTGTTGGCTGTATACATTCCACCACAAGCCCCAGCCCCAGGGCACGAGTTCCGGACTACATTTTTCCTGCCCTCGTCACTTATAGAACCATTTACATATTCTCCATAAACCTATGACAAGATATAAATTGTATAAAGAGAAGAGAATTAGCCACAAACATGGAAAATTAAGAACACAAAGTCCCCATTTCTAATCTAAAACATGTCTGCAATTTGCTCTAAGCTTCTTATTACTGCATAAGCAATGACCTAATTCCCGAAGTATAAACTAGCATTTAGTTGGAGCTAAAAACAAGATGTTTTTTGGTCAAACTTCCCTGTTTGAAATCCTTTTCACAGCCTTTCCCATTTTTTACTAACAAAGGATGAGAGCGTCATAATTTTGCACCAATACTGGAGGGTAAAGTCTAGAACAAAATAACTAGGATTGAAATTAGTTCAAAATTACAAATCAATCATGAAGTTAAGTAAAGTACAATCTCAAGCATGTCAGGCATAATCCAGTGCCATAATGATTATCATGCACACTTGCACAGGAATGTTGTGAAACACTGCTAGATTCTCATCCCAAGCACAATTTGTCTCCAGATACGAATCATATGGACCACGTTTTCTAGTAGTCAAATGCATGAAACGTTGCAATAATCTATTGGACACTGGACCCTCATTAAAGATTGAATAAGACAACAAGGTTAATCACACCATGAATGTCTGCTATATGTATCAGACAAATTAGAAAATTGGTGCACAAACCTGAAAGGCGGATACTATATCATAAGTATGGCCATTAAAATGACCAGGCTGCAAAAGAGAAAATGTTGATGTACATAAGTAACCAGAAAAAATTGTAGAACAATATAAATTAAAAAACATAATTGACTCTTATCTGAGGCTTTTTCTTATCCACATTGAAAATTTTGGGTTTCTAATCGAGTTATATTTATAAAGTGATTTGAAATGTATTACAACTGCCTTATCCTCTTTTTTTCATTTCTTGAGGTGGGGGGTGAGGGGGGAGAGGAGAGAATGGCATTCCGCACCTTTATAGTTCCACCATAAACCATAATACTAGGTCGGTTGAGCCTCCCCATTGCCATAATTGTACCTGGCATCTACAAGAATCAGAAACAAGTGCAATTTGCACGTTAGCCAGCAGAAGATATCTAGACGATTGAAAAACTTTTAATTACAAAACATTGCCATACATTTCACACAAACTCATCAAAATCCATCAAATGAAACCACAGGATTTTCAAGTAAAAGTTAAAAAAAATATGAGTCATATTCTTGAACTAGCAAATAACAGACATACAGCTTAAATCTCACATGTAATTTCTACCAATGAAATATAGCAAGAGGAAAATATCCTTAAATTATAAAACGAAATCACCAAGAGCTAGCTAATCAAACAGAGCTGCCCAAACATAAGATGAATAATAACATTGTATCCTTCTCTATGTCCGCAACAGAACATTCAATATGTCTATCGATCATAACAATAAGCACTAAAAACAGCTTCAACACCATCAGCAATAATCAACCTTCAACAGTCACCTAAAGCCACCATAATAAACTCGAAAATGAACAGAGTTCCAAAATGTTGCATAAATACAATCAAACGTGTTAGTACAAATCAGAAGCAGAAACCCATCTGGATATTAAAAAAAAAAAAAACAACTTACATTCTTATCGCAGCCAGGGATGGAGATATTCCCATCGTACCATTGAGCACTCATGACAGTCTCAATACTATCAGCAATCAAATCTCTACTCTGCAAGCTAAAACACATCCCCCTAGTTCCCATGGAAATAGCATCACTTACGCCAATAGTGTTAAACCTGAACCCAACCATCCCTGCCTCTTTCACTCCTTCCTTAACAGCCTCTGATAGTCTCAGCAAGTGCATGTTGCAAGTGTTTCCTTCGTACCAGACCGAGGAGATACCTATCTGAGGCTTACTCAGGTCTTCATCTGATAAACCCACTCCATGAAGTATAGCTTGGGACCCACCTTGGGATTTGGGCTCAGTTACGCGAGAACTATACTTGTTCAATTTTTGAGCTACATTAGATGCAAGTGAAGGGTCTGCGGTTACAGCAGCCGGTGATTGTGCTACGACGCGGAGGGAGGAGGGGCGTATAGCGTGGGAGTGAATGAGAGGGCCCTGGAAAGGAGTTGCAGGTTTTATTGGGGCGGCGCGTGGTGAGATGAACGTGGATTGCATGGTGGCGCGTAGGATGGTAATGCAGTAATGGGAAAACTAGGCAGCGAGCGATAGAGAACCGAGTAGTGAATGGAGTTTGAGAATAGAAGGGTAATGGAGGCGCTACCTGTGCGCGAATTGCACGTGACGAAAACTGTATGGGAGATTTGGTTAGTGAGGCTAGGGGTTTTGGTTAACCGAACTAAATCAAACCGAATTAACTGGTTTCAATTTAACTAAATGTATTTTTACAGTAATTAAATCCTAAACCAAGTGTTATAAAAATCCATTTAATTCGGTCTGATTAATTTTGAGTTTTGTTATTTCAATCAAAAAATGAAAACTAAGGGTGTGTTTAATCATAGAAAACTTGAGTGATTTTCTAAAACAGTTTTCTAAGAAAATTGGAAAACATAATTTTGTATTCAAATCAGTCAATTTTCTATTTAGAAAACTAAAAAACAATTTTCCAAAATTTAACTAAAATTTAAAAAACAGTTTTTTAAATTGTTTTACAGATTTTTTCCTTTATAATAAAAGACATGCTTTCCACTTAAAAAAAATGACATTTTTCATAATTAAAATTATAATATTTATAAATAATCATAAGAAAACTTTGAGTGATTTTCTAAAACAGTTTTCTTAAGAAATTTGGAAACATATTTTGTATTCAGAAAATCCAGTTTCAATTTTCTATTTAGAAAAACTAAAAAACAATTTTCCAAAATTTAACTAAATTTTAAAAAACAGTTTTTAAAATTGTTTTACAGATTTATTTCCTTATAATAAAAAGACATGCTTTCCAACTTAAAAAAAAAAAATGACATTTTCATAATTAAAATATAATATTTATAAATAATTATTTCTATAAAATATCTTTCATTAATTAAAATTATAATATTTATAAATAATTATTTCTATAAAATATTTTCATTTGAAAAAATAAAAATATTTAAATAAAATAAAATTTATATTATGCGTTAGTATATAATTAATTTTATTATATCCTTTGTTTTTAAAAAAATTACAAAATGATAGAAAATGATATTATTATTATAAATAATCAATAATAAAAACTTTAAATTTTTTACATAAAAATTTCTAAATTTATTTTATATTATGAAGATTATGAATAATATTTGTTAAAGTTAAATTAAAATATAATTTTTTATTGTTATGAAGTGAACGTATTTTCCATTTTGTGTTTTTTTAGTTTCATCTTTTAAGAAAACTGTTTTTTTTTTTAAAAACAGAAAGTTGAAAAACATGAAACTATTTTTTATAAGTAAACGCATCCCAATGTTTTTTTTTTTTTTTTTATCAAAACTGATGGATAACAAATCTCTAGAATGACTATCTAAATCTAATCTAAATTAATGGATAACAAATCTCTAAAGTGATTATCTAAATCTAATCCAAATGAATCAATAATGAGATACAGAGTATTACTCACCCATAAATCTTGTGGTTTTTAATTTTGTCTGTCACTGTATTTTTATTCAATGCGAGACCTGATTGGCCGAGCTAATACTGCGGGTTACACAATAATAGGGGTAGTCCTTCCGTAAACTCACTAAATTAATGAAAATACTTGTAATCGATAAAACTCGACTCGAGATCTCTTACTCTTTATATAAGTGAAAATACCAACTTGATTTTTGTTACTTTTATCTACAGCAATAGATAAGAATAACATTGAGCATAAACTAACTTGAAAATACCATAGGGAAAGCATTAATTTCACTTCCAGAAATTAGTTTCAATTTTATTTTATATTGATTTTGGTCTCTGTGTATTCAGTTCATTTTGGTTTAATTAACGAAGGCATTAGAAATGAATCGTACGATCATCATTTTTAATTATTAAAATCAATTCCAATTTGATTTTAATGTGTAATTTGTTACTAAAAATGTAATTCTGAGTGTTCAGAAATCAAAAGTTATTTTACAATGAAACTGAAATTGGTTGAAAAGTTATTGGTAATAAAATAAATTATTGATACATTATGATTTAAGTTTTTATAAAATGAATTTGATGATAAAACTGTAATTATTTAGTGACTAAGCAGATTGGTAATGATAGCACAAAGAATCTTAACTTGATTGCTCACTGTAAATCGAGAATGGAATGATACTTTGAAACACTATTATCGGGGAGTTAACCAAGTAGTTATCGCGAATGGATTGGGCAAATATGTTGTTCGTCAACACTCGGATAAAATTATGCAATTTCTGCAACGGGATATTTTAAACAAGGGAAAAAATTGGTGGCAGAATTGTAACATGTTTTATACGTGTTTTTATTATTATTATTATTATTATTTTCCTCAATTGTATTCCGTTATCTGCTACGGTTGTTGGACATGATTTTTTGAAAAAAAAGAAGAAGAGAAAATTACTGTTAAATCCTTATGATTTGCAAATATAAACAATTTCATCCATATTTTTTTTTAAAATAAACTAATATTGAGTTAATATTGATTTTTATCAATAACACGTAGGCTATATTTATTAAGCCATATAAGTGATATAGTGGTGATTTAAACTTCGTTTGTTTCCGTAAAATAACTTGCAGGAAAATAACTTGCTGAGAAATATTTTCAAATGACTTATTTTCCTTTGTTTGCTTGCAATAGTGAAAATTAGTTAAAAATACTAAAGTCTTTATCTCATAAGATCATACAAAATATTATTAATAATAAAATTTTATAATTTAAAAATTTTATTGTTAAATATGAAAAGAATGTAAAAAAATATAAATTATGAAAGCTGCCGGTAGCCGATGATGGTGTCCGGTGGTAAATAGTGACTGGTGATAATAATTATGATGATTAATAAATTAAAAAATACGAATTTATAAGGTTTGTCAATATTCGCAAAATGTTTTTACTTATTAGAAAATGAGAAGTTATTTTCCTTCAAAAATGACTTAAATTTTCTTTAACTAAGAAAATATTTCCC